ACGATTATCATAAGAGGTCTTTTGGTTTGCACTTTGTCTGAACCCTCTACCCTGGGTGACTAGAGCTGAATGATCTATTGTTCTCCAACCTAAATTGCATTTCGAAAATTGCAAAAAAATATTGCAGTTGAATCTTTTCCTAAAACAATTGAGTCCTATGGGTGAAACAACCAGAGACAACTGAGCTCCAAGGATCATTGGGACACTCAAACCTCTCCACCAAGAAAAGGTGGCAGCCCAGCAAGGGGGGAAATTTTAAACAAAAATAGAGGTAAAAACCTGTCGGACACACAAACACCAACAAACCTAACAGGACAAAGACACAACCTATTAAAAGATAAATATATTATTTGGTATAGCGCCTTTCAAGATCTAAATCACAAGGTAATTTACAGGCAAATCAAAAAAAGAAACAAGGGAGACCAAAAATATATACAAAAATACCATACCATACCATACCAAGTTTATTTGTATAGCATATTTAAACACGGCATGAGAGCCGACCAAAGTGCTGAACAAAAACACACAATAAAAACAATCAAAAATAAAAACTAAAACCATTAAAATCAAGTTATCCAACTCGAAAAGAAAAGGAGAAAGAGAATAAGTTAAACTGAATTAAAAGCCAACGAATAAAAGTGAGTTTTTAAACTAGACTTAAAAATGGAAAGAGAGGAAGAGAGTCTGATCAGGAGGGGCAAGTGGTTCCAGAGCTTCGGTGCACAAACCGAAAAGGTGCGCTCCCTGCAGATATTTCCATCCATTTCATTTCCATTCTCATTATTTTCCCTCCGGCTCCGGTGGAAAGCAGGGGTGACTGAGGGCAACTCTAATTAATTTTCCCTATAAGATGTACCAGTGGAGACAGTATTCAAAACATGTGTGATGTTGACCAGTAGAAGGGACTTTCAGCAACATATGAATGAATAATATGGCAGGTTTGTGAATCCAATCACTGTAAAATAATCGTCAGGGAAAACATTTGGACAGTTTGGTTTTGGAAATTTCTTCCAAAAACAGTTTTTCTCCCATTGAGTTGTACTGCCTGGATCCTGGCCTCTAACTGCAATCTGTGATCGACAGACTAGCAGAGAAGAGTGAGCTGCTTAAAAAGCTGCTCCACTGATAAGGTGGGAAATATTTAATAAAGCTATCATCACACATTATAGATGTTGTAATTCCTTATTAGTTGTTTTAATGATCCTTTATCTGCCTCTACTGTACCAACGTTTGGCTGTTGAGTCTCTTTTCAAATGGTAAGTTTAAAATGTTTTATGAAATCATACTTAATTGTGGATTATTAGAGACTAATGTTTCCCAACGCCCTCACAGTTTGGCCTCTTGACATGTGTTCCCCCCCATCCATGTTTGAGGACCTGCTTTCTCTCTGCTTCCACTGTACCAGAGGTTGGCTGTTGAACAGTACATTTATAATGTTCTATAAAATCCTACTTAATTTGGGAAGATTAGAGACTTAATGATGCATCTCATGTTCCTTTCAATTCTCTATTGATGGTTTCTTTATGACTGAGTCATCGCTAAATAAAGAAGTGTCAGGTCTAATGCTGCTATTTATTGAGATAATTTATCAGGATATTTAGTTTTTATTGGCCGGGTCTGTTTTAACTAACACTGGGTGTACACTACAAGATTTTTACAGTCACAGACTAAAAACTTGAAAGGTAGCACCAGGGCTCTTCCCATTAGTCTTCCTGCCCCACCCTTAAGCCCTGTCCACACGTAGCCTGGGATCTGCCAAAACGTAGATATTTTTCTACGTTTTGGCCTGTCATCCACACGAAAACGGAGTTTTTTCACACGAAAACGGATCTTTTTAAAAACTCCGGCCAAAGTGAAGATTTGCGTTTTCTCCGTTTTGGGTGTCTGCGTGTGGACAGACAAAACCGGAGTTTTAAGGTCTGCAACGTCACTTTCCGCGACAAAAAAATGCTGACATCACGTGTGCGACCTGTGTTTACACTAGCCGACAGCATTTTTTTTTAAAATTATCATTAAATGCTTATTACAATTTCTCGTGAGACAACAACACATAATGAAAACATACAAGGCATCTTTAGTAACAATAAAAGAAAAACATATAAGAAACTTAAAAAGAGGCACTTATATCACAAAGTAAAAACACTGTTACAAGATTAGACATTTTTCTGCAGCACCACTAGCCGACATCATGGAAGCCTTCAGAGCTGCGCTCTGTCACTACCCGATCCATCAATTGTCCAAGCGCTTTCTGCTTGTTTGTTTTTGCAAGCGGAATTACTGCTCCTTGCGGAAGACCACAGACGAAGGACGAGGTTAAGAACGGGGGAAGTACTGCCGCCTACAAGTCTGGCATGTCCTTAACAACGTATTTATCCGGGTACGTGTGGACAGAGTTTTTTTTTTTAACGAGGTGGTGTGGATGCAAGTTTTTGGAGGGGCGGATATTCGTTTTTAAAAAAAAAAACGGCTACGTGTGGACTAGGCCTAAGTCATGATACAACCTCTGTTGTTATTTGACACTAATGAAAACAAAGTGATTGCTTGATTGATTGATATAGCTGTCAATTGTAATCCTTGAGTTAATTTACATTTTTTATTTGTTAACTATCACAGAATATGACTATCCTTTGTAGTATACAGAGAGGAGATGCTGGAAAATTTGCCGACTTCTATGTAGTGTCCGTGGCTAATGTAGTGGGCCGGTCTGAAGAGAAAATTCCAGGGCCGAATATTGATCCCAGTCCACCCCTGCCTGCTAAGAAGGGCACGACTGCAGACCTGCAGATTCGCTGCTGTAGATCCACACCTGCAGCCGTGGACTATTCATCACGTCTTCCTCGTTCTTCACGGGTCGTGATGCTCTTGGATGAAAACATCTACCTCTTTAGCTCCTGATCAGTTGATGACAGCTTCAACACACCGCGCAACTTAACACACACATTTCCTTATCAGTAACAGAAACAACGTTTTGATGAAAGAAGACAGAAATTAATTAGCTTGCTCGTTGCTGAAAAAACTTTTTTTAGTAACACGGTTATTTTAAACGGCGTTATTCCCATCACTGCTCTGTTGGGTCTACAGCATGTAGTGACTGAGACAGTGAGAACACTAAGGGCCTCCACCCACCCGGCCAATCATCATCGTGTTGGTAAGTGCGTTACCGAAACCTCTCTCTCTCTCTGGCTGCAGAAGTGTGGCGGTCAGAAAGTCTCACACTGTTGCTCAACGTTCGACAAGCACATAGTAACGCACAACCTTCCATTCCCAGTAACGGTAACGGCGTTGCAACAATGGGAAAAGTAATTAATTAGATTATTCCGTTACCCAAAAAAAGGACGCCATTAGTAATGCCATTATTTTAAACAGTGTTATTCCCATCACTGGCAACAGCATATGGTAATGGAACATACTTTGCTGTGAATACCAGCGACTCTGCCAACCCAATTTACTCTAAACCAGCTCCTGATGGTTCTCAGCTGATGTTCGTGGCTAAAGTCCTGACTGGCATGTTCACTCAGGGTCAAAGTGGCATGAAGGTTCCTCCACCACTGGACGACCAGCACCCCCATGACCATTACGACAGTGTAGTGGAATAAATGGACAATCCCAGCATTTATGTGGTCTTCCATGATGGCCGAGCTTACCCAGACTACCTTATTACATTCAAGTGAACTTTTGGGGAAGATTGATCCTGGGTCCACACTGGAGGCATCAGCGGAGTGAAATGGCAGCGGGATGGTTTACTAGCGTGCTTTGCAGTGCACCAATCTGAGTGTCTCAGCTACGGGGCAGCTTCTCGTCAGTCCTCTTGACGAACTCGCGAGATCACAAAATCCCTCGAGACTTCAAATGTCACGGATTGTTTTTGTTGTTTGATATTGCTGTTTGATGTCATATATGATGTTGTGACTCTCCACTGCCAGTATGGAAGCCATGAAAAACACACTGTTGCTCTTCTTGCAAGATGCTGGGAGTAAATAAGTTGTTAGGTCACATGTATTGATGCAATCTACATAGATAAGAAGTTGCATCTCTGCAACAGTCTTTCATTTTGGAAATTACTGGATGTTTTACACTGAAACCATGTGTGATTTCCTGTCTAGCTCTGTGGAAATTGTCATGTCACAGAAGCAGCATGCAGCAAAAATAGAACCCGACCCTGTCTTTAGCTGCACGGCGAGCCGTTTCTGTGACATGCTTGAAATGCCAGTTTGTCTGCCGGTCCGTGCCACTGATGCCTCCAGTGTGGAGCAGGCTTGAGTAATACAGTTTACATGTGCAAGCACACAGTAGTCCAAAATGCTGAAAGCAAAACAATAATTTAAATTATTATAGAAATGAACAGATGATTAAAATATAAAGATAAAATAATGAACATTTCATTTTTGCATTGATCAATAGTTATTTGGAGGTCTTCCAGGGTTTATCTTTACACTTTAATACTTTGCATTATTTTTCAGGATATTGGATGTTTTAAAATACACAAACTTTGATCTACTCAGTGATCCTGACAAGATTAGCAGTCAAGGGTAATGATTCTCTCGCCATTTGTTCATATTAGCCAGCAGAGTTAGCATTTTCACAGAGAATACAAACACTTTGACACAAAATAATTTTTTACCTTACCTCTGCATGTGTTTCATTTTGAAGTACACTACACACAAATGAGTGTAAATTTAAAAAACTGCTTCACGAAACTGCAAGTGCTCTTTACTGCTACAGAATGTCATTTGTTAAATTTCCACCTCTGATAAAGAGTGAAAAGTAACAGCTTGTTCTTTATTGTGTCTGAGGGGTTTTGCACAAATTTGACTTGTCTGCGTTACAAACAGAATAACACAGGTTTTCTGATGATGTTATAATGCTTGTACAATTAAATTAGTTTCTTTGCAGTTATGAGTTTAATCTCAGACAGTTCCTAGATTTGCATCTCGAAAAATATCATTAAAACATTGTCATTGTCCCACATTCATAAATAAAAACACTTTGTCACAAGATACTGCAGTTGTTGAACTTTTATTTGTTTGATATTTCATATAAAAAAGAAAAAACTAAAAGAAAAAAATGAATGATTCTGACGCATCTATTTGGAACTTTTCTTGAACATTTCAATTAATTTTAAAAAGTGACCAATTTAGCATTTCAGTCATTTATTTCTTCAGGTTCAAACTGTTACTCAAAACTACAGAGAAAATTCACAAAATTGTCTTTGTTAAGCTTTTGGGGCCTTTTGTGATTCATTAATTATCGGGTTCTGTAAGCTATAATAACTAAACTGATGATATTCCTATAGGAATATCATCAGTTTAGTTATTGTAGCTTACAGTATAGTATTATAATACTGATCTACAGAAATGTCAAACTGGCTGTGTTTGCCAACTTCTTGGAGTGATGACCTTTATAATGTGTTTCAAATTTAAAAATACTTTATTTAACGAAGTTTCACAGCCAAAATACAATTCCAATTTGAGGCTGAAATTAAGCAAAAAATCTGGAATTTTAATTATTTATTTGATTTTGTGACTGTTTGTCGACTAAGTAAAACGAATGAATACATTATTAATTCATATAATCATCATGCAGCATAATACATTCACCTCCTATTGTTTTCATAGATGCTATTTACTCGTACAGTTATATTTTTATGTTATAGGCCCATTTTTGGACAGAAGCACAAGTAAGCTTAAAGATTCGGGGAGTGAGTTGACCACTTGGTGATCCTCAGGGCTTGACGTTGATGGATGCTTGGCCAGACACCTGCCTGAGACCAGGACAGTCCAGGGTAGCAAACACTCTGGTTTTTCCAGCCCTCTGAGGTGTGAACATCTCGGTCCAGGTCAGAGAGGTACCTCCAGGGATGAGACTGGAGCCAACAGAGCTTTAGTTAGATACCAGCAGAACTGGACAACATTTTAAAAAAAGGTATGTATGTTGAACAATTTGAGTCAATACACATGGAAACTCACCTATACAGTCTTTTCTTGTGTTCCATGACCCCCGGTCCGTCCATACGAACTTCGACATCCTTCAGAGTGTGAGTGAAGGGGTTTGTGAACTCCACCCGGGCTATCATCTCCTCATTTACTATGGCGTTGCCAGTTACCTGGATTACACAAAAAACATGCAGTCAACATAAAGAAAGCTTTTAAATATAGATAGTTTGCTGTGGGGTGGGGGCATAAATGGCACAAATGAGACTCCCCTTCTGCTTCGAGAGAAAGGGGAGGGCCCCGTTAGGGTCAATAGTGCTGTCAAATGACATCATTTTCACTTTTTCACTACTTTGTGGTTGTGACTAGGTTCAAAGTTTGTCGGCCTTCGGGGGCCCCTTGTGTCCTGGGGGGCAATTGCCTGCCCTGCCTGTCAGCACGCGGCACCTCTGGATGTGTGTGTGTGTGTGTGTGTGTGTGTGTGTGTGTGTGTGTGTGTGTGTGTGTGTGTGTGTGTGTGTGTGTGTGTGTGTGTGTGTGTGTGTGATGAATTGACAACCTGCTCAGGGTGAAAACCACTTTCTTTGCCCAGTGGCACCTCGTAATGCTGAGCAGGATTAAAGGAGTATAGAAAAGAGATGGACAGTTTCTGGATGTACAGAAACAATAATTCAAACCTCAACGAGGAGTTTGGGATTGTGCAGGGTGATGACTTTCATTGAGGTGACAATCTTTCCCGTCTCTTTGATTTTTCCGGTGACAATGAAGTTGAGGTTGGCCTGTTCAACAAGATGGTGCATGTAGTTCCTTGACTCAATCATCACCGACTCCGTCACACCTGGAAAACATAAACATAACTTATTTCATATAACATCACATATTTCATGTCCTCACATTCTTACTATTTTTGAACCTTTGAGTCCCCCCTCTTTCTTGAACCTCCACATACGTACTTCCTTGGGGCTGAATGGTTACGGTGGGGGTCCTGAACAGGAACTCATGGCTGGAGACTCCAGTATAATACACCACACTCCCACTGATGTACGTCCCCACTGTACGGCGCTGGTCACTTCGGTTTACGAACTCCAGGTTCAGCTCAAAGTCATCACCGACCCCGATCTCCAGGGTTGGCAGGATCACGTCCACATCAGCCAAAGGAGGGTTGGAGTTCTCTCGTTTACAGCCGTACTCCTCTGCTTTCTCCAGGACAGTCCGCTCCTCTGAGGTCCCTGGGTTGGATCGGAAAATAAAGAATCCACTTTAAATCAGTTTTAAAGTTGGACTAAATATTTGTTGCTGATAAGAGTCAGCCCAGATGTCTTAGATCAAAACGACCACTTTAGGTGAAGTGAAGTAAGAAAGATTCCTGATGTTATGACCAAAGTGCCACAGACCCTCACCTTAAAAACATTACTTAGCTTCTCTATCAAGCACAATAGTTTACATACTACAATAAATTTAGAGTTGAAACTGTTTAAATACTGACCTTCAGAAAACTTGTAATTATCAGTGATGTCACGACGAGTGACTTCTCCAGCAGCTTTGGTCAAAACCATTCGACCCACATGAGTCCGGTTCACCTTTATCAGCTGCATTGTGCCATCTTTCTTTCGAGAATAATACACAACGTCGCTGTTTACCTGCAGATACAAAGACGGCCGCTTTGTCTTTGACAACTAATAACACTCAATGCATGTTGCTCAGGTTTTTAATCAAGGCATTTCAGTGAGAAGACGAACCTCAGCAAAGACGAAGGCAGCGTCAAACGGATAGCAGATGTCTCCATGTTTGATGGCCTGGACTGACGCAGGTCCACACCTGTACATCCCTTATAAGACATGCAACAATTAGTGTAGTCCATTTACTAATGGGAAATACAATTGTTAGTATGCTGCCCAAGGGCTTGATTTTTCTTCATTGGCCAAGCATCAGAAGGTGGTGGTCACTAACCTAGGGGTAAAGTTGAAAGCAGAGCTTAGATTTGATTCTCAGCTAAATGGAATCATGAGATCTAGATATTTCCATCTCAGGCGGATATTGAAGACTAAGCCATTTCTGTCATGTAGCCATTTGGAGACTGTGACCCATGTCTTTGTTTCCTGCAGGATTATTGTAACTCGCTATATGCAGGGTTTAGACAAGCTTCCATAGAATGCCTCCAGAAAGTTCAGAACTCTGCAGCTCTGTTATTGACAAGCACCAGGAGGCCTGAGCACATCAGTGATAGGTGCTTTGCATTGGCTTCCTGTCTCTCATTGCATCAGGTTTAAGGTAATCTTGTTTCTGGTAAAGGCATTAAACAGGGAGGGGGAACCTCAAATACCTCTCAGAAGTCATCCACAGGCATGACCCGGTGTGTTCCCTTAGGTCAGCTGACTAGGGGCTATTAACAGTGCCCAGGTACATGTTGAAATCTCATGGGAGCCGTGCTTTCTCAGTGCTGGGACCAAGACTCTGGAATAAGCTGCCACTGGACGTGAAGCAGGCCCAATCACTTGACAGCTTTAAGTGCCGACAGAAAACCCATCTGTTCTCTCTGGTGTTTGGACATTAAGGTTGGGATTAGGTGGGTGGTTTTGCTCTGATTATTTATCTAATCTGATTGCTGTAACAAGACTGGTCGGGGTTGCTAAAACTGTACTTGGGAAGTTTTTATGTTGTTTTAGTGTTTTTATGTAGGACTGTTTTAATTGCTGTGTTTTTATTGGTGTAAAGCGCTTTGTTTGTCCTTTTGGACTTGTGAAAGTGCTTTATAAATAAAGCTGATTTGACTTGATTTAATATAGTGCATCTGTTCATGAGAACTTACCATCACTGGTCTCCTGCGGTGTTGCGTCCACAACCTGCCAGCCTCCAAAACCTTGAGGGAGGTCCGGTCTGGACATGTAGCACTCATTCCAGCAATGATAGTTCCTGAGAGAGAGAGAGAGAGAGAGAGAGAGAGAGAGAGAGAGAGAGAGAGAGAGAGAGAGAGAGAGAGAGAGAGAGAGAGTTGCTCTATTACCTCCTCCCAATCACTCAGTGAAACACTCGTTGATCACCTTTTGCTGACACGATAATATGCTGTCACAGGATACTGTTCTTCTATTAATAGATATGTTGACAATATCTGAGCTTAATGATGCAGTTTGATGAGAAGTTTGGTACCAGATAGAATCCCTGGTGCGGTTTCGATCAACTCTGCCATTTTCATCCAATATTATGTCAGTCCTCAGGTTTCCGTCATTGTCGTGAGCAGAGAAGTAGTTGGTGACAACTCGAGATGGGATTCCCAGACAGCGTAGGACTGAAACACAGACATTTGAAATGTTTTTTTTAGGTGTGTAAGAAAATATTGATACATAGAATTTTGCATATTTTTGTGTTATGACACCAATTCAAAATCTAAAAGCAGTGTAATCATTTTTTTAATTGAGAAATTACATGCAAACATTTACTGTATTTCTTTTATGTGGCACAATTCAAGCTCCGACTACTGGGTGGCAGCAGTTTTTACCACCTAATTCTGATGGAACAATGAGACCTGGATATGACTTGGAAGAGTTTGTCAATCAAATTCTGTGTTGAAAATTGCGAATATCATCTGGCTGTTAATATCGTGATATGTATCGTATCGTTTCCCCCGCATTGTGATATAGCATATTGCCAGATACTTGCCAATTAGCGTCCCTATTCTTAATGTTTGATACATATTTCATTTCTTCTTGAAACGTTTCCCGAAGGGCTAGTCAAAGCTTTACTCCCCTCCAAATATCAGAATGTATTTATTTATTTATTTAGAGTCTAGATTGTAAAACTGAGTGGTTCCTGAATATTCCAAGATCTCACAGGTGTTGAAGACGGCGGCGTAGACCCAGCACTGAGCATAGCAGACGGGCATCTTGGTGCTGGCATAAGTCAGCAGGATGTCAGTACTACCAGTCCAGGAAGTAGGCGCCACTCCGTAGGTGTAGTCGCCACTCCAGTTCCCCACCAACACCCCGTCATCATCACGGGAGTTAATCTAGAGTGAAAACGAGACCGAATTAGTTTGTAGTTAGTCGGAATTCATTTGACACATTTAATTAAAATCATAGAAAGGTCATTTAGTTTCCTCACCATGGCTGAGGCCTTTCTGGTCACCTTGATGGGGTCTCCTCTGTTGGTGATGGGCATCTCAGACCTGTCCATGACCAACAGACAGGCATCCAGAACTCCAAAGTTGAACTATTGGAAAATAGAGAAGAACTTTTAAAGTCCATGTAGATATTCTTGAGAGATCTCTAAATGTTTTCTCCTACCTGTCCATAGTTCCAGTCTCTCTCAGAAATGTCATCGTAGGCGCCATGATAAATGATTCCCACCTCATTCATCACACACTCCTGCCTCTCTTTCTCATCATCCAGAAACACAGCATCATCTGACATAAAGGAAAAGGCAAACAGTATTGAGATCAAGAGTGAAACAACCTTTACACATGTGAGTTTTAACACACCTGCCGCCCAGGGATTGAAAAGGATGTAAACAGCTCGACTGTCATCCTTTCTAGTCCTGCGGGTGCCAAAAGGCGTCTGTACGGCAACATACATATTATATTTTCCCACAATGCAGTCTGCTATAGGGGTGAGTCCCATGGTGACGATGTTGTCGCTGGTCTCTTTGATGCGACCTCTCCATGAGCTTTGCTTTTCCTTTTTGGGAAAGACTGGAACATAAGTGCCCTTACTGATTGCAGGGCTGGAACCTGGAGGAACAGAAAGAATCAGCAGGGTTACATTAATGAAGACTTGTAACTGTGTGCTGCAGGATGTATGGAATCACAAAGATGTCACAAAGTTGAAATCCTCAATATTACTCCCAGGTAACACATCTAGAGTAAATAATATAGTGAATAAATCTCACCGATGACAAACTCTACAGCGAATTTGTCCTCGTTAGGTTTGTAGGGACGATTGAACGTGATCTTGATTTCAAACTCTTGCCCTCGACGAACAATAAGATAGTCAGAGTGGTACAGCGTGGTGTGGTGTTCAATCTTATTGCTCTCATCGGGCCTCTTCATCATGTCCACGTCCCAGATGTCCAAGAAGTCTGATGAAGAGACAGAAATATCAAAATGTGACATTTATGTGTCCTAAAACATATATTCTTCTGAGACAAAGGGTGAGACAAAGAACAAGAGACAACATTAATCCCTGTAACCAAAAAAATGTTGCATATTTGATGTCTACCTCTTTAAAAGGATTAGTGGTTTACTCACAAACTTCAATGCCTGTTATCTGCCCTCTGGTGACAACTCAAAGTACTGCAGGTGGTAAGAGCCAAATCTAGTTGTTTTTATTCTCATTGATGTAGTTTTATATGAAAAAAATTACATTTAAATGCAATAGAAAACTTCACACATATTGCACCCACAGCCAATAAATCAATATTTTATATTTTTTTCTGAATATTGCTTTATGTATGAGGCCTTAAAATGGGCAAATTCTAGATCACTCACATGCATACGTTTGATAAATAAGAGCCCAGGACTACAACGGTCGTAGGATTCATTACAGTATAAGACATTCAGACTTCATTTTGAATGAATGAAAACAAAAATACATGCCCTGTTGCTTTCTTTACTTGAAAATCAGTGGACTGAGAATTGCTCCCTGTGGAACTCCGCAGGAAAAAAGACCAGAGAGGACCAATTATCTAAGTGGACTTTAAATATTTCTGATTCAAACTAAGTCAGAGATTTACCCGTAGTAACCCATCCAAGTCATTTTTAAGTATTTTAAAATGCGCAAGTTTTTTTTTTTCTTATTACAATTTTTAAGTCCCAAAACCACATCAGTAGACTTCTGTAAAAGCACATTTTCATGTAAACGAACCTCTGTCCCAGTCTAATTTTTGGCCCTACAACAAAATAAAGTGCAGTAGTCATTAGGAATAAATAAGTTAAAGATCCTTAAGTCATCAAAGTGTATCTTCTTGAAGCACAGTTTTGTGGTTGCTGTGCTGTCATCAGAAACATTGCCAGTGTGAAGGCCGACCAAAGCATTTATTTGTGGTTGTTGGGTTGTTTTCTGACTGTTAGACAATATTCCAGTCAGATCATTCACAAATTCCTGTCACATCTGGCCATTTTCCACTGCAATGACACACTGCAGGAAGTCCACAGACTTTATCCAGTTTGTCTGTCATTCATCTGTCACTCATCTACTAAAACTACCAGAAACACTGTTACAATAAAGAGCTTTATCTTTGCAAAGCACCACACAGTCATATCGGTTCTCTGCAGCAAACAAGCCCTCATTCATACAAGGCACAAAGATAAGTTCTGAATGACACATTTGAATTCAAGTGTGTTTTCATATTTTATTGACACACATTCACACAAATGTTAGAGTTTTGTGGTTTAACCTGTAAGAGGAGGGTATCCTCTGGGGCCAGGAGCACCAAAGTACTCCAACTCTGGGATATCTGTCGTTTCAGAATTGGAGGTGCCGATGGGGGCTGAGAATCGACCACGGCTGCTTAACTTGGGTGGACGTCCAAGGGGAGCTGGGGGAGCAGGTGAAGGAGCTGAGGTGGCCCCTGACTGATCAGAAACGGTGCTCATTTTTAGTTCTGTAAGCCTATAAGAAAGAAATCAATAGGGTCAGTATTAGCCTCATAATGTGTCCAATAGTAAAAACAGCTGTTTTGATTTATAAATAGATTGTTTTCCTTCTACAGATGAGGCCTCCAACATTCCCCAATATGATGGTAGATCAGACTGTTTTATAGCACAAGTGGTTACCATATGTGTTTGTGGGTTTTGATTAAGGGAAGCTTACCCTTACTCTCCTTCCTGGAAGCTGCTGGCAAATATTCAGTTGTGTGTTTACAGAGAGAAGAATGCACTCTAAACAATAGAAATGCTGAATTTACTTCATCAAGTTATGCCAGCTGGTTCCACTAAACCTAGCTTAAATATAAAGAGTATTGTATGTTTACTTTGACATAGAAACAGAACAATATGTAGTACTCGTTAGATCTAAGAAACCAGCTACAGTGGAACCGGTAGACCTAACTTGATTGAGTACATTCAACACTTCTTTTTTTAGAGTGTACATTTCCATCACTCAGTAATAATCACGACTAACCATTCATGTCAAGTTTTAAATATAAACTGATATTTTTCAAAGCCATGATAAAAACATTGTTATGTTTTACTGGGTTTAAAATGTACTTTTATTTCATGTAGCTTATTTCGATATGTTTTTGCATGATTTCGTTGAACATCCCATCTGTGGTACTGGTAGTTTTAACGAACAGAGCACTCTCTGTTGTGCTGAAAGATGACTAATGCACCCCTAACCTCTCTTCTGGTCACACCCACATTACGCAATAGTGAGGACAACTCTCAGCCAGGTGTCTGCACCATCAGCTTCGAAAGCTGTGAGCCTCATTAGCCTGTAACAAACATATTTTATTCATTAAATGATGTCATCATCTTATGCACATGCTGATATGAACTTGGTGTTCTAACCCCGTTGGAAACGTGGACCCCTCGTGAGCTGCAGACCTGATGTCACTTAAGTGCAGCGTGGACTTCTTTGGATTTAATGAGTCATGCTGAGCACACTGTAGCTCTTTGTTTACATCGCTGTGGTACGTTAACATTCTGGATTAGGTTTGAACCAACCAGTTTTTCAGTGACCACATTGGCCATTTGGGTTCTTTGGCTTATTAATTCAACATTTAAAGACTCATGAAGAAAATCCATCATAGTACTCAGAGTAAAGTAATGGAAATATCACTGGAAGCATTTTCCTTTTTATTATGCTAAGTAAGTCTGGAAGCACAGGAGCACCAGTTTTTTTCTGTATTTATGCCATCATCAAATTTACGACGCATTGAGTTTAACACAAACCTGCCACTATTTTGGATACATGCCAAAACATTAGAAAAATAATGTAATTTTCTGACATGTCCTCTTGAAAAAAATGCCTCAAAGAAGTTTTATACTCGTACTTTTAAAAGCTGTTGAGTTACTGCTCAGAACTTTCAGTCAACGCGAGAAATCATTAACGTTAATCAATGCTTTTTTGCTAAAGATGCAGCTTCTAAATTATAATGCACAACAGTGCTTTTGTAAGATGATACAAATGCATTAGACTACTGCATGTATACATAAAGCAATGTGTGCATAAATAAACAATATATATCAAATGTACACAACTTGCAGAAAGGTATTAAAGGAGTAAAGGTGTGAAAATATATTAAATTTGTTGTAAGGGGTTTGAGGAAAGATTTCCATGAACGTTTCAACAGAAGTAATGCAAAATCCAGAGCTGTGTTGATTTTCATGCATTAGCTTAACAGAATTATTTTCACCATGGAAGTGTAAAAACAAAGGCAAATAATCTCATTTTAAACCCAAACGTACAGATTTCACTTCTAAAAAATATTCATATAAATTATGAAAAAATGAAGCCATTTTTATCCTTTGACAATCTGTGAATACGTGTTGTCTAAACTGTAATGATTATGATACCTTCCAGTGTTAGAATTAGTAGTATTAGAAGAACTGCTACAAGACAGGTGAAACAAAAAATCTAGGATATGTTGAAAATGTCCATTATGTCAGTAAACCAACTTAGACTGAGAAACCATCTAAAGGCTCAAGAACCCTTTACAGCTGTAAGAAATGGTAATCACAATTATAACAAATAAAGGCTGAAATTTCTGGCTTTGCATGTAACGATTCTGTCTCAAATAGCTTCACCTTTTAAGCTGAATTACTGACATAAATGAACTTTTGCACCATTTTCTATTTTTTGGGTGTTTCACCTGTAGATCAATGCTTATTTGAGCTAAGATTTTAAAAACACGTAAAATGTTTAAGATTATCTTTTAGCCATCAGTCACAAGCTTTTTCCGACGACTTTAATGTTAATCTAAGTTGAAGCGCAAACTAAGTTTGTTGGATCCTGTTTATTTCAGAAAAACTAGGCCGGTGACATTCACGGCATAACTTAGCAGAGCGCTGAAGTCCCCCTCACAATGTTGATAACATAGCTGAGCTTGGCTTTGTGCTCACGATGAAAGCCGTAAACAGCCCTCTCCTCTCTCAGCGAAGAAAAATGTGATCGCTTCATCTGCTGTAAATTAGGGATGAAACACATTTTTATCCCAAGATGAAGAATTTTTGTGTTTGCTGCCATGACAACAAGAACTTTACTGGATGTGACTGCTGAAGAATTAAGTTTGTTTCAAAAGGTTAATGCGTAACTAACGTTTTGGTGAGAAAACATTTAAAAAGTCATAATTTGTTATTTCTGTGGCGCAACAATGAACTGCAAGAAATGTTGGCAGCCTGTTTCAGAGGTTGCACAATAACCACGTGTTTTCAATGACTTTCAAAGTTATAAACTTTTGCACCGAAGCTGAGTATTTACTCACCAGTCAACCTTTGTGACAAGATGCTGTATGTTGAGTCGATCTGCTGCTGCTCCATTCAAGCGGACTGGCGTCCCTGCTTATATATCCCACAGGGGCGAGGGGTCTGTGTGTTCTGAGTTGCTGTGGTTGTGCGTCCAACTTGGAACAGGATGTGGAATGTACCATCTCTGTGAAAGCCACAGCTGGGTGACGCTCAAGCAGATTAGTTCACCCACAAAGTTTCAGTTTAAACTTTATTTTGGTGCACTGAGCCCCGACACCACTCTGAGGTTTGTTTGTGCCAGAACACATCTGTGCCCGCCCGTCAAAAGATATGGATTTACTACAGGAAGCACAAAATAATAACATGAAATATCAACATGATTTGGTAACTTTGTTCGGAAATAAATGCTTGTAAATAAAATACATTATGAGCAGAATCATCATCTTCATCCTTTATTCATTGAGCCCCTTACAGGCATGAAGCATGCCACCAACGTGCTGCACAGCAGAGAAAAACAGCAAAAACAATTAAAAAGCAACAAGTAAAAGAATAAAGTCATGTAAAGATCAACAACATCTAACCCATCCATCTTCTGAACCCTCTTTGTCCACGCAGGGTGCCTATCTCCAGCGGTCAAGTAGGCGGGGTACACCCTGGACAGAGAGCCAGTCCATCGCAGGGCAACACAGAGACACACAGGACAAACAACCATGCACACACACACTCACACCTAAGGACAATTTAGACAGACCAATTAACCTAACACTCATGTTTTTGGACTGTGGGAGGAAGCCGGAGTACCCGGAGAGAACCCACGCATGCACAGGGAGAACATGCAAACTCCACGCAGAAAGATCCCAGGCCGGGAATCAAACCCAGGACCTTCTCACTGCAAGGCAACAGCTCTAACCACTACGTCACTGCACAGCCACATCTAACCCACAGAGTTAAAAGCCAAACCATAAAAATGGGTCTTCAGCCTTGTTCTAAAACCACGACTGAAGGAGAGAGCCTAACAGATAGGGGAAGTGTGCTCCACAGTTTCGGTCCTGCTGCAGAGAACGCCCTATCCTCTTGTCTTTAGCTGAGCTCTAGGAGCTGCAGCACAAGGCATTGTCCTTCACACCAAGATTAACCACTGAGGCACTTAAGCAGGAATTCAGGTCACCACAGTCCACCTTGAAATAATCCAGATGACCATTTGGTCCAAACAACACTGATTACAGGAGAAATGATTTAAATGAATGAGCACTGTAACTAAAACTGTGGGGGGTGGGGGGCATAGATGTATTTAAATAACTTGTTTTGCAAATTTGCTTCAACATCTTTAAGCTGCTTTATAAATAAAGCTGGTATCCGATCTCACATCCAACGATCACCAATTCTAAGTCCCACCCCTTTAGGGGTCCTGAACATGACTACTCAGGTACAGAAAATAGATAGATGGTGTTCAGACTGAAAACTCTGCACTCAATGGTAAATGGCCTGTATTTGTATAGCACCTTCTTAGGGTTCTACAACCCCCCAAGGCACTTCACAACATAATCAGCCATTCACCCATTCACACACACATTCACACGCTGGTTGGTGATGAGCTACGGTGTAGCTACAGCTGCCTTGGGGCGCACTGACAGAGGCGAGGCTGACGAGCGCTGGCGCCACCAGTTCCTCCAACTGAAAAAAATTGGTTGTTTTTATGCATTAATATGGGGATAAGAATAGAGTTAATCTAATGCATCTAGGTGTTTACTAGGCCTCCATCAAATCGATGTAAGTCATTGTCACTTCACATGGTGGTGTTCTCATAATGATCCAAGGTGGCGTTTTAGATATGTGTTGTGTAAATGATGTTACAGCCCTTAAGGCGTTCTGAGACTCCTGCAGGTTAAACAGTCTAATACAGGAACTTTCATCATGGTAAACATGGGGTTTGCGTAATTTTAGAGTTTAGGTTTTAAACATTTTATTGGCGAACCTCAGAGCCTGTTAAACTGCAGGTTCAGACCACATGCAACAGTAGCTCCTGAAGTTTAGCGGTTATTTTTGGCTGATGCAGAAACAAAAATCTGGTAGAAGTGTTTCATGTATTTTATTAGAAATACCTTTGCTGACTTCAGTATTTAGTGTTTCAGCTGAATTTGAAGTTGAGTTTGGCTTTGAGGTTTGATCTTGACTCACAGGTGTTGTTTACTTGTGATGGAGGAGGGGTTTGTTTTGTCATAACTTGTTTGGACATAACTTGCTTCTTATTGCGAGCAAAGCCGCAATTATTATGTTTTTTAACAAGCGGCCCCTAAAGAATCCCTGTGCAGCCTCTAGTGATCTCAGCTCCAGTTCTAATGGAGAGAAGCTCCAAGAGCGCACCAAAGGGAGTGAGCGAGGGAAACAAGTCGAAGACACACAGGAACAAACAAGAAGCTGAAATTAAAGAAATCAGCTGTAACTGCACTACATGAGGGAAAATTATGCAATGCACTGGGAGAGCACACGGATCATGAACACAGAACAACTAAATATGAAAGATGGACCAAGGAAGCTATAGAAATAAGGAGATGTGGACACAAAACCATAAACAGAGATGATGGAGTATTCACATTGGATCACGCATGGGACAGAGTCAACAACAAGGAGGATGCAGGCAGCAAAGGGCAACGCTGTCCTCTGCTGTCCACAGATAAAAGGAAGTGACGCCACCAACACTGGCAATCTATGATGATGGCTAGAGATACTAGCTAAAACATGTCAGGTAAAAAAAGCTATTTGTTACTAAAACTATGTAAGAAAAGAATAAGAAAACAGATAACGAAGATAAACACAGAGTGGGCGTACAAAAGAACTTTAAAAAGTTCTTAAAACAAAATTAAACTGTTACTGCTGCCCTTGTATCGTGTAACTGTGCTACGATGCTAACGCTAACTAGTAAAAAAGTGTGAAGATCTGGTTTCTGATTAGTGGATTGTAAATCCTCTTCTATAACAGCTTTATTCATCAGCTCTAATTATGAAAAAATATATTAAAACATTCTCTGTGTGTGCAATGTCACTGTTGAGTTAAGTTGCAATAAATATCCCCAACCACAAGGGGGGGGGGGGGCCTGCAGCCCTGGCAGACCTCCAATTCTGGTACTAATTTATACATTGTCATGGTTCTGCTGCCTTCTAATCTTGTTTTGCTTCTCTAAGTTTTCTGCAGATGGGCGTGTCAGAGAGTCACAGCTGCAGCTGATTTCCCATCAGAATGGCCGTGGTCCTAGTCGGATTTGTTTCACATCTTGTGTGATTTTTGACTTGTGCTTAAATTCAACTCTCCCTGTTTACCGCAGTATCTGCCCTGGATCCTCGTCTCAGTTCCCGCCTGCCTGAAGTGTGTTTTGCCTCAACGTCGCTCACCTCCCCTGGCCGCTCGCTCTCCACCATCCACCTGCCCTACCATCAACCACTCGTCTCCGCCTGACCCCTCTCAGCACAGACCTGACTTGCCTCCCCCTTCAGCCCATTATCAGCCCAAGACTGCAAGATCATTCCATTTTCTATTTACTTTTCCTCTGGTTCTTAACCCAATTTGTTCTTTTGTTTTAGATTCGGATTGTCTTTACATTTTGTACATTCTTAGCTGTACTCCCGTGTGTGATTCTTTCATGTGGGTCCGGAAACTTCCACCCATCATGACATACATTTGCATAACTTGAAAACAAAGTCCATAAAAACTGGAGATTTCCATTTCTGTGTATTCCAAAAAAAAATTAAATAAAAAACACGTACAGTTTAAAAAGCCTTAGAAATAAAGTAAAAATGACTTCCTGTGGTAAAATTTGGTTACTGAAATCACTTTGAGGGCTGCGCAGTGGCGCAGTCGTTAGAGCTGTTGCTTTGCAGCGAGAAGGTCCTGGGTTCGCTTCCCGGCCTGGGGTCTTTCTGCATGGAGTTAGCATGTTCTCCCTGTGCATGCGTGGGTTCTCTCCGGGTGCTCCGGCTTCCTCCCGCAGTCCAAAAACATGACTGTTAGGTTGATTAGTCTGCCCAAATTGTGTGTGTGTGTGTGTGTGTGTGTGTGTGTGTGTGTGTGTGTGTGTGTGTGTGTGTGTGTGTGTGTGTGTGTGTGTGTGTGTGTGTGTGTGTGTGTGTGTGTGTGTGTGTGTGTGTGTGTGTGTGTGTGTGTGTGTGTGTGTGTGTGTGTGTGTGTGTGTGTGTGTGTGTGTGTGTGTGTGTGTGTGTGTGTGTGTGTGTGTGTGTGCACATGATTGTTTGTCCTGTGTGTCTCTGTGTTGCCCTGCGATGGACTGGCTCTCTGTCCAGGATGTACCCCGCCTGATTGCCCGTTGACCGCTGGAGATAGGCACCAGCCCCCCTGCGACCCTGCGTGGACAAAGCGGGTTAAAAAAATGGATGGATGGATGGAAATCACTTTGAACCACTCTGAAGCTTTTTATCGGCCGTCAGATTACAACTTACAATTGTAGTGCAGTATTAGCTCGCAGGAGACACGACAACCCCACACTCACTGACGTAAACAGTAGTCATATCCCGCAGCCCTGCTGGATATGAAATGTGTTTCAGTACAACCTTCCTTCCAAAATGACTGAAACATCATACACTGTAAAAATCTCACTATGTTCTCACATACTGCACCTTTAATAGGAAAGTCAGAACAGTTTGTGTAAATAGTCAAAAGGCTGCCAAATGACACTGTAGCAAAACATAAATCTTTAAAAAATATAAAACCTGTTGAGGTATAAAACCCTGAAAGCCAGGGATTTTTTTTTTCAGCTGATGTTTTTGAAAGATGTATTTATCCACAGTAACCTTGTTTTTGTCATCACTATAATTATATAATACCACAGCAATTAATTCTCTAATAATTCTTCCTGATTGGCTGCTGATTCAGCTTGCTTTGCTGCATTCACTCTTTATATTTGGTTTTCCACTTTGGCATTGAAACTGTGTTCAAGGCTCATTAAGAGCGAGAAATGAATCCAAACACTAGACCGCATTACTTATGAACAAAATGTCTCTTTTATTTGCTTCAACCATGAAAACTAATTTCCATCAGTTAGACACAAAACATCAATTTATATTCCCTCTCAGTCCAAAAGATGTCTTTTCTTCACACAGAAATATAACATAAATGCTGAACATCATCTGGTTTTAAAGGTCAAAATTAACTAAAGAAAGTACTTAAACCACAAGATTACCACCACTGTCATGTATCCTCTTCACTGACCCTTTCATTTACATTGCAAACTGATGTGTGAATACTGAGTCAAGTATAAATGAGGTGTTTATGCATAATACAATATAAAGTTAGCCATCCATCCTTGTATTTGTGTTTGTGGTGCAGCTTTACATCATGGTAACAGCTCCGTTCAGGCTAATGTTTCTATATTAAGTTGTTCTTAGAGTGTTTTTCTCCTCTCTGACTGCTGCAGGGGGAAAGGCTGAATCATGAAGAGAATGATTTAATGATAGTGTGTGTGTTTTCATGGCTCAGGCTGGATGGGACTTTAGGAACCTGGTGTTCCATGTTGGTACCCAAGGATGTACCACGGCCAAGGTGCTGTGACATGATGAGGTCTTGCTGGCTTTTGACACAATGCAACCTCTGTTGGAACATCAATGTTTCTTTCTTATATTTAGGGCAGAAAAGTTAAATGTTATTTGCTTGCTTTTGCATGTTTCCTATTTGGTTCTGCTGTGGTATCTTGTGGTAGCGATGCACTGATACAGTATTTTTCAAATCACATACAAGTACTTACAATTAAGTACTTGCAGAAACTGATTATACAGTATAACTACTAATAAATGTATTTTTTTTTACTCTAAAATGCCTCCAATGCTGGTTGGCCCCTCCCCCCTCTCCAGGGGTGATCCTCTGGGGGTTGGGGTTGTTCTGGCGGTGGTCTCCCTTGGGTCTCCATGCTCTGGGGGAGACCTTGGGATCTCTGGAGCTTGCATCTCCTCCATCTTTAGTGGGTCTGAGGGCACACAGGTGCTCACATGGTGATCTCACAAGTATGAATTTTGTGTTTTTGACTCATAACCTAGGGCTGTGGTTGGCACTAAATGCACTATAAATTGTTACTGTTATATATCCTCATGTGGTTGGTGCAGTGATATTTTGACTTTGTTGTATTTTTGTGTGTCCCTTTTCTCTCTCTCTCTCTCTCTCTCTCTCTCTCTCTCTCTCTCTCTCCCTCTCTCTCTCTCTCTCTCTCTCTCTCTCTCTCTCTCTCTCTCTCTCTCTCTCTCTCTGCTGATCTAGGAGTGGATTATTGTACATCTTTTATTGTTTATTTCTGTAAACTTTCCCCCCACCACCTCTTCCTTTCCTCTCCCCCTTTCTCTTTCATAACCGTCTCCATTTTTGCTGGGATTTAAAACAACCGAAAGTAATTCTAATCAAGTTTCGATAACAGGCGGGGCATTACAGCTGAAGCTATGAAGCTCCACCAGAAAGTAAAAATGTGAGGCTTGTCTTCAGCATTCAGACATCAATTCTGATGCTTTACAGCTGGACAGGACATGAAAAAAATAAAAAGAAATCGTGTCAGTGTGACGTTGGGAAACAGGATTACACAAACCTTGATGTTAACATAATACTATTAAAATAGTATATAAAGTGTCATGTTGTAAAATAGAAATGAGAATGTGCTGGGTTGCAATGGACTGTAAAACCGACTTGCTGTGTTGTTTATTAAAGAGGAAGTGAGTTGTGGTTAACTAGTGTCTAGTAAAGGTGAGTTTTTTACTGGGAAGTGTAACTGAATAAATGAGGAACACAGAGTTCACTAAACAACCCAGAGTCAAAATTGATCAACCTCTTCAATTAAACATTTGTCATTTAAACATTTTTCTGAGTTCCTTTAAACTCTTCTTTGTGTAAAGACGTTCTTAAACCAGCTTTGGGTTTCTCTAGTTTCGTTAGGAATGTCAAGTTGCGTTTTTCTGTCTAGCGTGTAGGTACAGGAAACAGAAGTTCCAGATACGTACAACAGCGCAACCCCAATGGCATTAAGACATTAAGCTGCTATGAAAAACTCATTTTATGCATGTTTTTCTGCATGTGTGTGCAACATGTGCACATATGCAAAGCAGTGTCATGCATGCATTTGTGCAGCAGTGTATTTTGCAAGCACGCACAATTGTGTCTTGAAACCTCAACCTGCCAAATCTTAACTTCCTGTCGCGTTGAATGAGAGCATGCTAGAAAACCACACTCAGGTCATGTGACTTGATGTGTTGAGTTTGTGCAGCACATTTCAGGTCCTCTAGCATGTGTATCTGTTTGTCACAATGATCCTCAAGAAACTCTTCCAATAAAAGACTCATAGTAACAAAAAAAGAGGAAGAGGAAGAGGAAGAACAGAGAAGTGATGGACTCGACAGAAGAGAACTTCTGTTCAGCCGCAGAGGTGAACGGTGGTGAGTTCAGCGCTGAGTTTTCTTTGTTAGGTGCTGCAAATTGACAGATAACACAGAGAACTTCTTTAAAATAAGAGAAGTGAGTGATGTTTTTATTGACAGATGTTATAGTGAAACGTATACTTTATTTGTAATTTAGACCGTCGCTGACAACATTTCTTTGCTTTGTGTCATTCAGCGTTTGCCGCACGATGTACTGAGGAAGTACTTCTTCCTTTCTTCACAGATGAGAGTCTGCAGGCCGCCATGGACTTCCGACTCGCTCCCACCTCCCCCAGCTCTGCTCCTGCTCTCCCAGAACTTAGAGTGATCCTTCTGGGCAGGAAAGGAGCTGGCAAGAGTGCTGCTGGGAACACGATACTGGGAGGTGCAGGAGGGTTTGAGAGCGGTAAGCCCACAGAGGAGTGTGTGAAAAGGAAAGCCGAAGTTGTGGGGAGAAAAGTCACGGTTGTGGACACACCTGGATGGGAGTGGTACTACCCGCTGAACAGCACCCCTAACTGGGTCAGGAGGGAAACGTTAAGGAGCGTGACCCTTTGCCCTCCTGGCCCTCATGCTGTGCTGCTGGTTGTTCGATCCTGTGCTTCCATCACAGATTTCTACATCCAGGAGATTGAGGAGCACCTGGAACCTCTGGAAAAAGACGTGTGGGGACATACCTTGGTACTGTTCACCAGAGGGGATGAACTGGGTCTGGGAACGATGGAGCAGAGGATCCTCACTAGTGGATCAGGGCTCCAAAGGCTCCTCCAGAAGTGTGGCAACAGATACCATGTTGTTAATAACTACAACAAAGGAGATGAGGCACAAGTTAAAGAGCTGATACGGAAGCTGGAGGTGATGGTGGACGGACAGAAGGACAAGAAGACTCATCTGGAGTTGGACCATACTGTTCTGTTGGGTCTGGAGGCAGAAGGGAAGAGGAGAGCGAGGGAGAGGAGGAAGAAACAAAGGCAGATGGAGGCGCAGATGCAGAGAGGAACCATCAAAGCTGCTCTCATGAGTGAGTCCTTCAGGTTCTTTCATTTTGAATTTCTCCTGCGCTTTCAAGTAAATGGAAACGACAGAAAAATAAGTTGAAGGCTTCTGGATTTAAAAAACACCATTTAGTCAATATTCCATCACTGAATGAAACTAATGATATTTAAATAATATTTGACAACCTTGAATTAAAAAATTTGTAGTTGTTGAATTATTTTTTGACATTTACACCCCAAAATAAAACTTAATTCATCACAACAGCTCCAAAACTATGAGTTCTGACTAAATAACACTTGAATCAAATCAGGAAAGATATTAAAAATCTAATTTATCTTCATCAGCAGGCCATGTGAGATGACTCTCTTGAAATAAAAATTAAAAAATCTAATTATAAGGTGAAAATGAGCTTGTGATTAAGGTGAAGCTGCAACGCTTTTACTGCTAATTTGCGGCAACAAAAATAACAATATCAACTTAAGGTGCCAGTTCCCTGGAAACGATTTAATTAGAGAGTTTATCAAGACATAAACCAAAACTAATAATTAATACAAGTGCTTAGCAGCTCCTGGAGAACCCAATGAAGGCTGAGGAAATAATTCAGCAGTTAGTCAGGTGTGTCTGAACAGGAACATACTGAAAACATGCCACCACAGCAGCTCACTGTTAGCACTATAAAGCTATGTGTGTGCATGCAATGCATGAGGCGTGGCCTTCAGCTCCCCCCAGAAGGGGAGAGTGAGTGGTGGCAGGACTTATAGCCGTTCAAATGTCAAAATATTTTCCTATTCGCTTTGTTGATGTCACTCTACTGACCACAGCTTTAAAGGTGTGGATCACTCATTTAAGTAATACATTTGCATGGGTCTTTAGGAATGAATGCCTTAAGTTGTACCTTGGGTATAATAAGCCCTGCACCTGTTTCAGGGTGTAGACAACTGACAGATCAGAAGAGAGCTTCAGACAGCAGGATCTGGCATCTTACTTCCTGATATTTGGACTTCTCACCTCTGATTGGCTAACAGAAACACAACTCTACCATTGACTCTGTTTGCTCTGCAACTTTGATGTTTTATCTCTACAAATAACATAAGCCTGGAGGAGTTCTGCTGTGTGGTGGAGTTGCTAATCATAGAGATTCACCCATAGGCATTGGAAACATGATGTCAAAAGGGGGCATGTCCCCCCCACTTTTTAAAATGATACATTTGGCCAAGGGGGTGTCCCAGTAGTGGTTATAGGCACGGGCAGACAGGGCAGTTGCCCGGGGCGGCATTTTTTCATGACACAAAAGGGGCGCACAAGCGCGGAGTAAAAAAAAAAAAAAAAAAAAAGGAGATCTGCGCCGCACCGAGGTTTTCTATTATCTGTCATATGACAGTGTCTGGATTGGAAACAGAAAGTTGGCGCCCCCTGCAGCTGCAGGCGCTCCTGCTGACTGAGAATGTTCACGTGCACCGTGTGTGTATGAAGAACAGGAAGGGGAGGGGTGCGGCGGAGGAATTCATCTCTGCGTCTTTCCCAAATGAAATGAGCAGGTAGGGGCTGAACTGTATTAACATGGCTAAAGTCAATCACATCTTAACGTTCTTCCATATTTCATTCATAATATCATAAACACAGGCCTATCATTCTTTCAGGTTTTTCTGAATTGTGTGAAATGACCGAATAAAAAAAGGAAAAACAAAACGATTTTGTGGTCACCCCCCCCATCAAGTTCAAATAGTTTAGTCCTGACTAAAGGAAACTTACTGAGTCAGGAGCCAAACAGAAGAGATGAACATAAAAAGGCTAAAACCACCAGGTGCCCCATTCAGGGGGAAAAAAAAGAAAAAAGAGGAGAAAGATAAAGGTATGTAGCTCTCATGATGCATGTTTTCAATTTTTTGAACCAGTTAACTGGGATTTTAACAGTTAAATGCGGTCAACTAATTGCTAACAGAGCTAATAGGGCTGAAATATTTAAACGAATATTCAAATGGTTCGAAAAAAGTCCTTGAATCGTTTTTTACTGATTCAAACTAGGATTTGTTAAATGCTCACTGCAGCCCGTGGCCTGCCTGAACAACAACAAACACATGTTGATCATGTTCACATAATAATAAATAAAACAACTCTACAAGCAGAAGAAAACTCCCCAGTCACCACTAACTATCCTGTTTTTTTATTGCAGATGGCTGCACTGATTATTTTTTACATGATTTGTTCTGTAACAGTTGGCATTTTTGGTAGTCTACAGTTTTTTTATGTCAGTTTAAATTACAATTTCAGAGGCAATTCTAAAATATTATGGATCATGATAAAGATCTATTGGAGATCCACCCCGACTTTTGGACTGCTCTGCCAGTCACTGTGGCTCAAGCTGAGAGGAGCTTTTCAAAACTTGATCAAGTCATACCTGAGGTCATCTATGTTTCAGGGGCGGCTCACTCGCCTGGCTCTGATTAGTATCAATCACTCAGTAGGGGAGCAGATTTCATATGATGACATTATTGATGACTTTGCATCAAGGTTGGGTTTTAATTTTAGTTTGTGTTTTCTGTTCTAAGTGCAATGCTGTAGTGATTATCTTTAGTTTGTTATGTGTGAAATATTTTTGCTATTTACAATATTTATTATCTATTATGTTCATATATTCTTAATATTTAGTTATTGTTTGTTTTTGTATATTTGATTCTATATATTTTGATACAGTATATAATGTATAGTGCTTTTCATTCTGACAACTTCATAGTAATTAATGTAAATATGTGCAGCTTAGAAAAATGAATGTTCAATAGTCGTTCTAATAAAACATGCCTGTTTGTAGAAAACATGCGTGTGTTCGTGCAGGTGGGGTGGTGGTGGTGGGGGGGGGGGGGCGGTTGGGGGGGGGGGGGGGGGGGGCGCTCAAAGTGAGCCTCGCCCGGGGAGTAATTCGATGTAGAACCGCCACTGGGGTGTCCCTTTGGCTGACTGATTAGTGCATATGACTCTCACCCGGAGTCTGGGTATCAAATCCCACCCGGGCCCTCGCTTCTCCACCTTGCCACAATGTAATGATGATATTTTTGGGAAATGCAAAAATACACAAATACAAGATATTCAGCACACTGTAGAGAATAGCAATTTTTGTGTGTGTGTGAAATCCTAACACTTTTAGGAGGAAATACTTAGGGGGGAAAACTGCTTTCAGTTGGATGGAACAGAAAAGTCGTAGAAAGGTTTACATCAAGGTAATACTTCACTAACTGAAAATGGCATAGAGGCAACATTGAATTTAAGCTGAGTTACCATTCTGGAATAAAAGATACAACATCTGCATAAATGGACACTAGCTAGTGCCCATTCTAACGCCAAAAACTAGAGATTAATCCAAAAAGGCAAAAATGGCTCTGCAGTGCACTTACAGAGACACTGTAGACAAATATACTGTTGGTGTAAAAAATACTGAGGAATGTGGTTTGTTTCCTTCTCTCATGTCAGGTGAAGGACCCCAGGGCTCTGAACTCGATGCACACCAGTCGTTCTTCAAGGCTCCTCGGCAGCTACCTGAAGTCCGACTGGTTCTCCTGGGTGAGCGTGAAACTGGAAAGAGCTCTGCAGGGAACATCATCCTTGGAGAAAAAGGCTTCTTCCACGCTGGAGCAGTGACAGAGGAGTGCATTCGTCAGCAAGCGGAGGTGGCCATGAGACTGGTGACTGTGGTGGACACACCAGGATGGGAGGCAGGAGTGGCTGGAGCAACACCAGAACGGGTGAAAAGGGAGATCATGTGCAGCGTGGCATTGTGCCCACCTGGGCCTCATGCCCTGCTGCTAACTCTGAGGGTTGACACCCTGGTGAGGGCCGGACATGTGAAGGAACATCTGGAGCTTCTGGGAGAGGGCGTGTGGAGACACACCATCTTACTCTTCACCCATGGTGATCAGCTGCGAGAGGGCGTGGGCATCCAGCAGCTTATCCAGAGTGGAGGCAGGGATCTGCAGGGGCTGCTGGAGAAGTGCAGGGGGAGGTACCATGTGATCGGCAGTGGAGATGGAGGAGGAAGAGGCAGTGAAGCCTCTGCAACGGTGACAGAGCTGTTGGAGAAAGTTGAAAAGATGGCGACGATGAACAGGTGTGAAGCTTTCTCCGGTCTGGTTCAAGAAGTCAGGGATCTGAGTCGGCAGAGGAACGAAAAGTTCAACCAGCGCATGAAGGAGATTGGAGACAAGATGTCTCGTCAGGAGACGGAGCTGAAGAAAATGAGGGAGAGAGAGGTGAAGAGCATCAGGTGGTTCTTTGATCGAAAGAAGAAAGTGAAGTCACCTGGGAAAACTGATGTTCAAAGAGATGAGGAGGAAGATGAGGACAGGAGGGTGGGTGAAATGAGGAATGACATGGGTGACCTGGAGGAGAGGATGAGGTGGCTGACCGAGGACAGAGAGAGGGAAGTTCAGGATCTGAATTTAGAAAACGAGAGAATTCGGATCACACTAAAGCAGAGTCAACAAGAGATGCACGACGTGGAGCTGAAGGTGGAGCGAAAAGAGAGAGAGATCGAGGAGCTGAAAGAGAGAACAGAAGAACAGCAGCTGAAGCTTCTGGATCTGGAACGTTCCTGTGTGGAATTTGAACATGAGAAGAGACAGAGGGAGGATTTTATAAAAACACAAACACAAGAGTGGACGAAGGAACTGGTGAGGAGGGAGGAAAGGATAGATCTGCTCAGGAACGAGAAAGAAACTCTAAATGCAGAAATGGAACAAGTTAAAAGACTCTATGAAGAGATGGTTGTTAGAAAAGAAGCAGATAAAAACAAGGAGATGGAGGAACGGGAAGGAAAACTAAAGAGAGACATGCTGGAAAAAGAGAAACAACAGGAAGAAATGCTAAAGAAAGAAAAGCTGGAGGCTCTCAGAAGCATAAAAGAACTGAAACTGAAACATGAGAAAGAAATGCAGGAGAAAGAAGGAGAGATCAAAGGCATTAAGCTGCAGCATCAAGAAGAGATGGTCAGAAAAACATCTGAGATAGAAACAATCAGGCAGACAATGAAAGCTCAGCAGGAAGAAGCTGAAAAGGTGTTCAAAAGAAATGCAGATGAGATTGAACGGATCAGGCTAAAGCATGAGCAGGAAGTAAAGGACATGCAGCAGAAACAACAGAAACAGACAGAAGAATTAAAAGAGGAGTTTGCAAGAGAAAAAAATGAGCAGATGCGAACAAAAAGGAGAGAACTTGATGATCTGAAACAAAAATATTTATGTGAAATAGAAGCTATGGTGGTGAAAAATGAAAAAGACACAGAGAGGATTCAGCTAAATCACAGAAAAGAGCTCGGACGACAGAACCAAGAGAAAGAAAAGGCAATGGAGGCTTTAAAAGCAAAACATCAGGAGGAAATAGAGAAAAATATGGAGACTATCAAAGTTCAGAAGCTAGAAACGGACATGAAGTTAAAAGAAAATTCTGAACATTTAAAACAGATGAAACTAAAGCATGAGGAGGAAGTAAAGAACCTGCAGCGTGAACACCAAAAACAGATAGATGAAGAAACAGAGAAGTTTTTAAAAGAGAAAAATGAACAAATGCAAGCAAAAAAGATAGAAATGGGAGAACTCGAGCAGACGTATCTGAATCTAATCCAGGAAAAAATGCTTGAAAGTGAAAAACACAAAACAACAATTCATCTTAATCACCAAAAAGACAGAGAGGAGCTGAATCACGAGAAAGAAAAGACGACGGAGGCCTTAAAGCTGAAACATCAGGAAGAGATAGAAAGAAAAATGAATGACATGACAAAAACAATGGAGGCTCTTAAAGCTGGCCACAAGCAGGAAGTTGGTAGCATCGTCAAACAGAAGGAAGAAGACATCAAAAAAGTCCGACAGGAATACACCGACCGAGTGAAACACTTAGAGAGAGAAAGAGAAGCGCTGAAACAGGATCTGGCCCGAGAACTCCAACAACAACACCAGGAAGGACAACGACAGATGAGAGAGTTACAACAAAAACTCACCGCTCAAATGGAAGAGATGAAAACAAGCATGACGCGAGAAAAGGTGGAACTAAAATGTCAGTTTAAGGAAGAAATAGAACACAGGGAAAGAGAGAGAGAAGGAGACAAGAAGGAGATGAAGGAAAGGATAGAGGGAAAGGAGAAACTGATGGAGGAGATGAAGGAAACAATGCGGCAAAAGGAAGAAGACGAGAAACGTCTGATAGATGAGCTTAAAGCAAAAGAGCAACAGCTGATAGAAAAGCAAAGAGAGATAGAGGACATGAGATTAAAAATGAAAGGAAAGATGGAGGAGTTACAGGAAAAGGAAGAACGGGAACTTGTTTTTCTGGACTATAAAAAAGACACGGAGAAAAAACTGCAGGAAAAAGAAAGAAATATGGAAGAAATGAAAGAACAACTTGAAGGACTGGAGCAAGAGCTGCTGCAGACGAGAAAGGAAAAGGAGAGAATCGACTTCAACCACAAAGAGCAGATGCTGCTAAGTCTAGAAAAACACAGTCGCACCATAGAGACGTTAAAGCACCACATAAAGGACGTGGAAGCGGTGCTGCAGAGGAAAGAGGAGCGAGGGATGATTATTCTCAGCCAAAAGAAAGAAGCAGAGCGGCGACTGCAAGACATGGAGCGGAAGATGGATGAGATGAGGCGACAGCTGCTGAAGGACTTGGAGGAAAAGGAAACGGAGATCGAAAGTGTTAAACAGCAGGCCGGCGCCGCGGAGGTGAGATGGAGAGAGGAGCTGAGGAAAAAAGAGGAAAAGGAAACAACTGAAATTAATAAACTTTTAGAAACTATTGAAAAGAAAACCAAAGAATTACAGAAAGCACAACGTCTTCTCAGTCAGAGAGACAGAGAGGTCGAGGAGACTAAAACGCTGAGTGCAAACTTCCTAAAAGACATCGAGGAGCTCAGGGAACGCAACGGAAAGCAACATGTGACTATTGTTGAGCTGCAGCAGCGCCATTTAGAGCAGGAGAGGAAAACCGAGGCGGCGATGAAGGAAAAGCTTCAGCAGAAAGAGGAAGAGCTTGAGCGTCTGCAGATAAACGACGAAGAGAACGAGAAGGAGATCGTCCATCTGAGGCTGACCATCGAGCAAACTAAGTCTGAGCTGAAGGAGCTCACGGAGAAAATGGAAAAGGAGACGACGAGCATGATTCAGGGATATGAGAAGGAGCTGGAACGGAAAAACGAGACCATCAAGACAATCGCAAAGGAGAAAGACAATCGTATTCATCGACTGGAGGAAGAACGTCGAACCGTTGCAGAAAAGTACAAAGAAAGTCAAAAGATGGTCGAGGAGCTGAGAGAGCGAGACGAGAAGATGAGAAGTAGGGCTGAAGAGACACAGGAGAGTGAGGACAAAGTGAGAAAATATCTACAGGAATGTGAAGAAAGAGTAAAAAGTCTCAAAGTTGTCATCAAAGAGCGAGATTTAGAATTAAAAATGCTTAAGGAGGTCAAAGAGAAACTTCTAACGGAGGTAGAAGGTTTCAAAGTTAAAGAGAAACAACACAACGAGCAGATGATCGAGGATGAAGAAACTCTAAGCAGAAAGGAAGAAGAGTTGAGTAAACGTAGAGACAACCTTGATGCCAAAGAGCAAGAACTTGTTGAAACTGAGATGAAGCTGGAGAGTAAGGAACGGGAGATACAGAAACTACAAACAACTCTAGAGGTGAGGCTGAAAGAGCACGAGGAAGAAAAGGATAAGCAAGAGCGAGATTTGACTCAGAGAAAGCTGAGCATTGAGAAGAAAGAGAAGGAGCTGGACGCCATTTTTGGAGTTCTGGAAGGCAAACAGAAAGAACTGAGCTGTCATGGTGAAGATCTGCAGAAGAAGGTGAAAGGCCTGAAGCACCAAGGCAGGGAGCTGAAGGACCGAGAGTGCCACTTGAAGAACGAAGAGCAGGAGTTGCTCAGCCTGAAGTCGGAGCTGCTGATGCAGAACGAGCACGTTAGCTGCACAACGCAGGAGTTGGACAAGATGCGGAGACGCTTGGTTTTTCTCAAAGAGGAACTCCTCACCAAAGAGAAGAAACTCAAGGAGTCTATCAAAAAAATGAACAAATGGGAGCTGAATCTGAAGGAGCGAGAGGAAGAGTTAGACAAAAGGGAGCAGAGGCCTGGTGCTTTTGGAACAACTGAGGTCCATCCTTCAGCAGCTGTGGAAGACGGCGTGGCTGTGATGTACCAAGAGGTCAGTGAGAGGGCGGAAACAGGAAACAGATCAGAACGAGAAGACAATGGCGATCGGGAGATGAAAACAGGATTATCAGCTGCTGAGGGCATCAACTGTCACCTCAAAGAAACACCTGAGCCCGAAGAAAACCTGGAGACAAGAGCAGAGATCAGCAAGTTCAGGTGGACGTCTCCGAGCCCTGCGTCATCCAATAACAAAGACATGAAGTTGGGAGTAATTATGTTGGGGGAGACGTGGTCTTCTCGCTCACCAGCTGGCATCACCATTTTAGGTGCAGAAGCGTCCAAAACCAACAGATCCAGCTTCAGAACCTGGGAAGGTCAGATAGCTGGTAGGCGTCTCTCTGTGGTGGAACCTCTGGGTCTGAGGTGGCGAGACGGACCCGATCTAGCCAACATGTCACAGCAGAAGAACATTCTAGACAGCTTCTCCTGGTGCCGCCCAGGCCCTCAGGTCGTCCTGCTGCTCATCCCCGTCTTCCTGACCTGCACGCAGAAGTACAGGAGAGCTGCGGAGGAGCACGTGGGTTTGCTCGGGGAAGACGTTTGGCGGCGCACGCTGGTGCTGTTCACATGGGGGGATACTTTAGGAGAGAGCGCAGAGCAGCACATCCTAAGGAACGGGGAACTGGCGCGGCTTGTAGAGAGATGCGGGGGAAGGTATCATGTGATGACGAGCAAAAAGGACAACGCAGTCATCGAAGGACTGTTTGAGAAGATGGAAGACATTGTTACTCTGAAAGGCCGATGAGACATAGGACCTGTTTTTTATTTGTTTAGTTGAAGGTGTTTTAACTAATCCAACACATGTATGAACGTTCTTCAGACAGTAAGTGTTGCTGGTGTGAAATAAGTGGAAACTAGCATTTTGGTGTCATATCAGGCATTAAGTTGCTGATAAACATTGTGCACCTTTTCATGTGAAATCTTAAATTTGAGGTACGGCAGCTTCTTGTAAGGTTGCAGGTTCAACCTGAGCATTTCTTACCTCATGTTTCCTGCAAGGCTTTTTTTTAAAAAAGGTTCTTATGTCAATAAAACAATCTGACTAGGTAAAATATCAGTGTATGGTTTACTTCAGGACATGAGGTAGAAGATTTTACATCTACATGTTCTGCCCTTATTAATGAACAGGTAGGCAACCCCCTCTGAGGGGCAATAGCTACAATTTAACATCTAGCACATTTTTCTTTTTGCATCACATTTGTGCATTCAGTGCTCACTGTTTTCCGCTCTTTATGGTTTTTTCATTTTATTTTTTTAAGGGTCAGAGTCTCCATCAACTCCATCATCCTGTTGGCAAAAGGCCCTAAATCTGGCTTCTTTATCCAAAATGTGATCAGAACCAGATTGATTCATGCCAGTCTGAACCGTAAAAACCGTTTTTGTCAAGTTCGACCAGGCAGGGGTGTGTCCAGGGAATGTTCTGGGGAAACACCACCCTTGGAGTCTGATTGGCCGCCCCAGGGTTCCACCCTACTGAGTTCTATTTAAATTGACTTTAAACTGTTCATGAAAGGCTTGGGGTTGAATCATTTTGTGCTCCTTCACCATAAAAAGATTAAATTAAAAAAAAAAACGACAATAATACACATACCTCTGCTTTGACAAGTAAAGTAAAATAAAAATAGATATTTTTAAAAAACATAATAATAGGTGCAGCCCAAGGGATAAACAGGTGCACTACTTGGGCCACTCCATTGTACACTGGACTGTGATGGTTGTTGCTTTTTTATAATGTGGGCAACTGTACAAAATTACAGATCTCAGTAAAATAAAAAACTTCAGATTTGAGAATGAAGACCTGCAACGTGAATGTTCCATGTTATTGTCTCTTCATCTCTCGTCCATCCACATTTTTCTGCAAAGAAAAAATAATCTGTACATCCATTGTTAACGCTTTGTTTCATTAACAAACAAAGTGGGAATGGACAGTACAATCAGCTTGGATTTAATAAACTGACTAGGACGTTAGGACTTCACTTAATATTTTGAATTTAGATTATGTGAGGTTTTTTTTTTTGTTAGTGAGGATTGCCCTGTGCTTCATACTTGCATGATTCTTTAAAGGTTTTCAGGGGTGTCGACACAAATATCTAACAGAAATTGTGTTTAAAATGTGATTAAATCACGTTATATTTGCTCTTTATAAAGGACAAGGTTTATGTGTAAATGTATTAACAGAGGGGTTAACAAAACATCAGAAAGTAAAAATATGTATATAAATACATTTCAACTTATTAAGTGAAAAATTAACTCACCGTGTAACATGATATAACTCAAAATTGCACTTAAGTACTCATAACATTAACATCTTGCTTGTTGCACGATTCATAATAGCCCATAATTTATTTATTAGTGAAAAACCCTGACAGGTTGTTCAGTAAGACCTTATTTGACCTGAAACCATGACGCGGTTCACAGTTTAGCCACTAGATGGCGACATTGCGCCAGCCCTGAGCTGAACTTCCGATATGAAAGCTGCTTGAAAGTCACAAATCAGTAGAAGAAGGATGGTGGTGAAAGCATAATGAAGCCAGTCAAACACGTTTCAGCCGAGTGTTGCTGTTTTTTGTGTGTAATGGTTACAAAGAAAAGCACACAAAGGCTGACTAGCAGAGCCTTGCTTCGTCTTGACTCGAGGCATTTTAAGGAGAAAACTGTCTCGCAATTACAGCCCCAGGGGGCCCGCCGCCTGCTGAGAAGGACCCCTGCTTTGACAAGTAAATTATGACTCTTGATGAGAGGAGCACGCCTCTTCTCAAAAATGCCATCCCTGACAGCCTGGAGAAAGCGGGTGGATACACATACAACAACTTCCATCATCATCATCAGCAGAGCCACATACAACATCCAAAAACACTCGTGTGCAATCATCAGTCTAATAATTATGGAGTGTGAGTGCCGCTCTGAATCCAACATGGCAGTGGTGTTTTAGTTTGTATTTGGTCTCCCTATTGGGGCCTGCCTTTAGAGACTAGATGAGAGGCTGTCCTGTCAAAATGGATCTTGAGCTTCTTTGATCGTCATTTTACGGCCTTTCTCAAAAGCATCAGAAGAAAAATGAAGAAAAAACGTCACAAAATTGCAGCTGATGTAGACGTAATTTCCATGCACTTAGCATAACGTTTTCACGTCCCAGACTCAAAATCAGACGCTGTAACTTTTAATCTTCTGCTTCATCTTATAAAATTTAAAATGTGACACAAAGTGACTGAAGACGTATAGCATGTGGTGACCTTTATATGTTATGGTTCAGCTTAAGTGGTCAACATGAAATATGTGTGACCTTTAAACACCCTCTTAACACAGTATTACATGTTAGAACTGCATAACGTGTTAAAATGACATGTCAGCACTCGAGCATCACCATTTTCACGATTCCCAGTCAAAAGGTTATGTTTACCTGCCTTGTGTGCAGATAACAGCCAAAAATATTGGACAATTGTCATTTTTTGATTCTGTTAACTGAAGAAACAGATTTATTTTTTCTGCAGCTAACCAGGCAATAGGAGTGGAAGAAAATGTTCTGCATGCATATGAACCTCAGAGCCACCGATAGTATTTCAAAAAGTGAATGAGAACTTTAAATGAGACAAATTATATAATAGTCTTACAGTCTGTAAAAGACACGTTTTTAAAGTTATTTACATAAAATCCCTCTTACTTCAAGCAATCTCAACAGTTTTATTCTTGACATTTTCAGTAACTTCCAGAATGAGTCGTTTCGGGCCTCTGTCACAGTAAGAAAACAAGCTGGAGCTGACCACACCCACCCATTCCCCACTCAGGCTGCTATCAGCTAAGAAGCTCTGATAATCAGGAGGGACTCAGAGTAGAGCTGCTGCTCCTCCAGCCTAGAGAGATGAAAGGGGCTTTGATGCAAACATCCCCATTTATGATGTCACAAAAGGGGGCTTTTGAAACAGATCGTTTTAGGCATGTTATCCTTAAACCAAACACTGAAAGAAAACAGATGGGCAAGGTGTTTTTCATGTTTGTGCTTATAGAGGCAGTAGAAACCAACATGACAACACAAAATAATTCAAAATGGAGTTTTGCATATTATGTCCTTTTTAATATGTTTCAAAAATTTGAGTATATTCGAAGTAAAATTAGGCTGAAATCTGCAAAGAATTCCTTTTAAAAAAACATTTCAATGCCTCTCTTAAACATGATTATTCTATGTCATAAACAGCAATTTCTATCTTCAGGATAAGAAAAGTCCCAAAAATCATGGAATTTTGTGTCATTCCATTAAGAAGTGTTCAAAAGGCCAAAATCTCCTCCATATTCGTAGGTTTCTAGCAGAAACTTTGCTTCACATTGACATTCTGATGCAGAACGGTGCAAACAGTGGTTGATGAAACCACTCTCTGGCACTCATTTTGGTTTTATCTGGCATTAGTTCAGATTAAGGCGACACTGTAACCCTAATTTGTCTTTATTTGGAACCTTTTAAGGTTCTGATTGAGGCGCTTTGTGGTAATATGAACAGAGCCACATTTACATGCACCACAATAGACGGCAACTGCCCAGTCAATCACGTCTACACAAGCTGCACAACCAAATTACTGTGCTGTTTTAAAACAGAAGTTAATGGCTGGGCTGATTTCTATTAAGGTCTGTGTGCACTCTCATTTGAATAATGGCCTTCCCTGCAATGTTTTATTTTTTTTTTAGTTCTTTTCAGCACTTGACCCAGGAAGGGAATAAATGTGATTCCGTTTAAACGCCTCCATTAATATTCAAGTGGTTTTTAGTACTCCGGGTTTAATTTGGACTCACCGTAATTAGCATGGCATGGCTTGGTAGTGTTGGTTAATGATAAATCATATTTTGTGACAGTGCATTTGGTGGCAGAAAAACAGGATCATCACAAGCACAACACATACACACACACACACACACACACACACACAGCCTCTGTAATAACAGAGGAATGCACCAAAAGACATTTTATTGAGTGGTGCTCAAGGTTCATAAGTGGGAAACAATGGTTTTAATCAAATATGTCTTACCTTGAAATATTCTGTTTAACTGTCTTCCTGAATAGTTGACTTGACTTTTTTTTTACTTCTTTTGGGCTTGTAATAAAAAAGAATAATTAATAATCTTGAATAAGCCTAAAAATGTCAGTTTCTTGTTTTTTGTCAGCAGTTTAAGCTGTTGCTATTAAATTAATGTGTAATCAGTGGTTGGCATTGTCTTTAAATACATCTAATTCCATCCAATCAATCTTCTTTTTGATATTAAATTACCCATTGACTGGACATAGAGAATTTCCTCATTGTGGTGGATCATTTTTCAAGAGACATTGAAATCGCTCCTCTCACAATCACGACAAGCAGAAATGTAATCGGCAAGCTCAAGCTCATGTTTGTGAGATGGGGAATTCCACTGGAGCTGATCAGTGACAACGGCACACAGTTCACATCTGCCGAGTTCCAGGATTTTAAGAAGAAATATGGATTCACCCATACAACACCCAGTCCCCACTATCCACAGGGCAATGGAGCTGCTGAGAGAGTTGTTCAGACAGCCAAACGCATTCTCAAGCAGCCAGACCCCTGCCTAGCCTTAATGAGCTATTGCTCAATGCCGATCGTAGCGACTGGAGCGAGCCCTGCTCAACTTATGACTGGTTGACAAATTCCAACTACAATTCCGGCTTTAGAGGACTACGGCCTCAGTTGGTCAGTTGGGACTGTGCCTATCAGAAAGACAATGCGGCCAAAGAAGCATACAAGTATTTCTACAACCGAAGGCATTCAGCTAGTCCTCTTCCAGAGCTGCGGCCTGGACAGGCTGTCCGGGTGAAACTTGATGATAACAAGGGATGGAAGACCCCTGCTAAAGTCATCGGCAGGTCGGGAGAAACAAGATCCTATGTGGTGGAATTGGACATGGGGACTGTAACTCACTGGAACAGACGTCATCTCATGGCGGTCCCCGAGACCGACGATCCGGAAAAGCAGCAGCAACTGGATGGTGGGTCAGCTCAATCACCTCAGAGCTTCAGTTCCACAAATGTGATGGTGGAGGTTCCCCAGGAGCCACCACATGATCAAGAATCGGCAGTTCCTGCTCCGATGTCCCCTCTTCAGTCCACTCCCAAAAGACTGACCTCAAAAGGTCGAGTAATAACGCTGCCTCTGAGGTTCAGAGACTGATAATGAAGGACTCGGACCTCTCTCTCTAGGGCAGAATAATCCCTTCTGGACTGAGGGTAGTCCGCCCCTAGGATGTCCAGGTTGAGAGATGAAGTACTTGGTTATCTTGTGTGAAAGATAAGGATAAGGATGGGGGCAGCAGTAGCTCAGGTGGTAGAGCGGGTTGCCTCATGATCGGAGGGTCATGGGTTCGATTCCAGCTCCCACCAGGGGTATCCTGCTGTTGTGTCCCTGGGCAAGACACTTCACCCAACTTGCCTGTGTACTAACACAGGCAAGTTGGGTGGTCAGAGGGGCCGACGGCGCCAAATGGCAACCTCGCCTCTGTCAGACCTCCCCAGGGCGGCTGTGGCTACAAGTAGCTTACCATCACTAGCAGTGTGTGAATGTGAGAGTGTGTGAAAGCGTCTTTGGGGGTCTTGAAAAGCGCTATATAAGTTCAATGCATGATTATTATTATTATAGAGGAAGTAAAATTCTGACATTTTACCAGCTGTGCTTTTTTAGCAGAGTTCTTTTATAACTTTGAGTTCCCATTTCTAGCTAAACACTTACAACTTTCACTTCTAGATAAGAAAGACGCTCAGAGATATGAAGATGTTGCTGTTCAGCAGTTAGTAACTGTACTGTTGTTTATAATGCTTTGTTTTATTGTGAAAGGGGAGATGTTGTTATATTACCGCATGTCCATAAGGGGCTTTCGTACTGAGCGGGAGTACCAAGAGGCGGGGCCTAGAGTGCGAGAATTTGTTCTGTGTGTTTTAACTAATAAAGTGAAGCAATGGACAACTAACGCAACATGCTGCTGAGGTTCATGACACTCAATGTCAAGGCACCTAGCCTAGCAAGGCGATGTCTTGGTAGGCCAGGTGCCTTGCTTACTAGGACACTTCCTTCCTTGGATAAAGAAAATGGTTAAATGGAATGAACTTACCTCCCGTGACTGCAGTTGTGGTCATGCGTGATCGCGTATAATGCCACCGTTACAGTCAAGTATATGGTCCACGATAGTGATTTACTTTTGTGTTTACATTGTTTTAATGTATTTCAGAGACTTTTTAACACTGATTAATTTGTCCCTCATTGTCCTCCACCTTTTCATGCGATCGGCACCTCTAAACCCACATTTCTCATAATTTCCGTCCACAAATGAAAAGCTTGCTGCGTATCTTTGTACTGAGCAGCGTACGTCACACACTCCGACGCTCAGGTCGCTGTGGCTCTTATCTCTGTTCTAAATGACTTGGAGGTGTCTTCAAACAATAAGAAGAAGAAGCGCCAAAAGCCTTTCTTCTACAGAAAGATCTTTGTCCCCTTGTCAGACACCATTTTTGACTACAGCTAAAAAAACTACAGCATCGCCCGGCAGTCGTCATTTCCGCCTTTTTTCCTATTGGTTACATTTGAGCTGGCTAGTCACGCCCCTCATGGTGCTCTCTGCCTCTGAGTATCCAAACTCGTCCTCTGTGTAGAAAAGACAGAGGGCAAGTCTGGCAGACCAGGCTAACTCCTTCAGTCACGGGTGAATAAACATTTATATTTTCTGACTTCTTCCACAAGACGTACTTCAATCTGTTTCGTGTCTGCTGCTAAACATCTTTATATTTTTGAGGGGCAATGGCTGTGCTGTTGACGAATTTACAGGAAGTGGCATCCTGACCAATTATAAGCTTGACAGAAAATAACATAACCACTGACTTAAAAAAACAAGTGCTAACCCCCAGGAAATCAATCTGAGGTGTGATTTCTTTTTTTTAGATAAGAAAATGTTCTAAAATGCTTCAACTAGGAGGCCCTTCAGTAATCTACTACTGAAAGTTCTGGCAATCATCCAAGTTAAAGATTTCTCATCATGGTAGCAGCATATTAGAGTCCTAGATGGGACTAGAGAAAGGGTTAAATGTATCCAGTGTCCAAATTACGGGGGAGGGGAACCTGACTCCCCTAAAAGTGTGATGGCCCACAGCCATCAACTGACAGACCTGTAGAAGCCTGGATACACCATCGTCAAGCTTCCTCAAGTTTCATCTAAACTGACCTAATTCCAACTCCTTTGGATACCAGATGGAAAGACCTCCTCCCCACCCCCACCCCCCACCCCCACCCCACCCCCCCAATCATGATGGAACCCCCACCACTACCACCAAAGTTGAACCGATGGATCCCTCATTACTGAGATCAGGCCATGGTGATCTGACAGGATGCTGAATTTGAGGCCTGTGTGTGTAATTTGAACCCTGACTTAATCTTTGACTTTCAGCTGGATATGCTGCAAGTCTGGCTTGGATGGTAAAAAAGTGAAGGACAAGCCATGGTGGCTTCAGGCCTGACATGGTGTGATTTCATACATACGGGCTTGGTTTGAAGGGGTTGTGCCAAGATTGAAAATAGTGAAAAATAACCCTTTTCTTGACGAGATCACAGCAGTGTCTTCACATGAAGTAGGTTTTTCATTTTTACATGAATCAAGATGCGTTCAACCCAGTGAGAATAAGGTCTAAGCTAAAGAGCAGTAGAAGGTTGCATGGTCATGGTCGTAAAAAATAATTTTGGCTTCTTGAGCGCCAAGACTTACATTTAAACCAAAGGACTATGAGACAACCCACTTACTCCTAATGGGATGTGGATTTACAGATTTCCAAACATCTCAAATATTTCAACGCAGATCTTAGTTACAAAGAAATGGTTAAAGTTAGCCAAAATGTTGTGGTACACTACAAAGGGGGAGGGGCTTGTGGCAGAGAGGACTTTGATGATGCGTTGACTGATTTTTCATGAAGTGTTCATATATAATTTACCTGAACAATTTGATGGTCTCAATCCAGGATTAATGGATCCTCCAAAATATTCATGTTAATGAAAAACAAACATCTAAATTGGGTGATCTTCAAAGACAACCACACTTTGGAGCCAAGAAGCTACTGAGACACTATTTTGTATGCATACTGGTTTAGGTTTTGCAATATTTTATTCTTAAAAGTAGATTATTCATTAGTGCTGTTGTTTTTTTCCCCTTTCTGTGTTTAACTTCCTCTCTCCTACTGAACACAGGGAGAGCATCGGGGTGGGGGTGGGGGGTGGAGGGAGGTAAGAGGATGCAATGTTGCAGATGATGAATCCCCCTCTGGACTGTATTCGTTCCGGCTGAATGCATCTGTTGTATCCTCTCTCCCAGTAATTTGAGAGCGGTAAGTGGTTGCTTTTGAGCTAAGCTAAGAAACTGAGACGCAGCACACGTCTATGCTCCGTTTTGTTTTATTCAACAGAACCCAGAAACTTCTCTGCACAGGCACAAAATACAGCTTTTGTCCAGCCAAAAGTAATCGATCACACAATCATAAACTGCAAAAATAACATGTGTTTATACTTTAGTACTGTATTCCTATATTCTATGCAATAACAACCATGACAACAATAATTATAAAATATTGTATGGCTCCTTTTTAACAGTATAAACTGGTCTCTCTAACATATACCTTTTTGTAGCCTATAAGCTGTCACACATCCAGTGGGCCAGAGCCAGGTCCTGGAATCTAGCTAATGAGACACATCCCTGAGGGTCACATGCTATCCTATTGGCTGAGTGGCTCACGGGGGGGGGGGAGCAGACGATTGGCTGGTCGAGTCCTGTCAGGGCGTGTTGGACGTCAGGCTTGCTGTGTTCACATCCAGAGTGGCACACAGTAAAGAAGCTAAATGAGGAGAGTGAAACCAACACTGAAGCTAGGATTTAGAGGGCTTTACTCACTGGAGGTTGAATCAAATATTTTATTCTGTTTACTTTTAAGGCGATGATGTGGGAGAGATAAGATATTATTCATGTCAACATCCATCCTGACATCCTCCAGATCTGATGCTTTCCCTTGCTGGAACAGCATACATATAGGCTTTATTTATTCAGCGGGGTGCCAGAGGCTGGTCTTTGACACGGATCCTGCCACATAAATATAATATAAGATTTCTCAACAACATTTGTCCAGCAACTTGGAGAACTGAAACCGTGTGGAAAATATTGATCATTCCAATGGGTTTCTACCATTTTGTTGGGACTTTTTTCTACCAAGGAACAAGAACAAGAACAAAGGTCACATGAGTTCAAGACATTTGAAATATATACGTAAGGAGAGGATGTGAAAAATTCCAGCCTTGTGCTTTTTCACCCCATCTTTGACATTTAGCTTCTCCGTCTCTGAGCTGTGAGTTGAGTTCAGATGAAGGTCAGGATGCACAAAGGGGCGGCTCATGAGCATTTCTGGTCCTAAGTAAGCATTCTCTGATCAGCCCATGATGGCACATGCCCAAAGGTGGTATTGCAGAGGAAAAAGAAGGAGGAGGAGTAGGAAGCCATTTCCA